TATTTATAGATAGAGTATGCTGGAATATCTTTATATAACAAATAATAATACAGAGCACACAACACAAGGCTTCTCTTTTTAGTGTGTCTTGGATTGTAATGTATCAGTTTTGATTTGGGGCAAATCAAATACTCTACAGAGAATATTTGGATTTTAACTCAAAATTCAATGTAATTAACCTCAAAAAACTAAATTCTCAGCTGGCAACCCCTGTCCATGAATCCCTCAGTTAAGATTTTTCTAAAGAAAAATTAAGGAATAATTTACACCTGGTTTCACTCCTTAGGCTAGTTTACCTTGCTGTTAAAGTATAGTGTATGATGGTGTCAATAATGGACAAATCCAAGCAGCCTCCTCCTGTTGATTAATGTATTCGGCTCTCTTGAAGAACAGGGAGATGATGAGTGATGGCCTTACAGAATTTATTGAAAGCGTAAGGAAGCTATCCAGTTTTGTTTTGTTTAAAGGATTTTCCTGTGTGGTTTTTTTCTTTGTTTAAAAGTCCTACAAATCTCTATTCCTGGGCTATCTACAGCTTTAGACATTTTATTTCTGTCATAGTAGAGCAGTCTTTCTTGCATAGGCAGTGTTCCTTTGGAATGAGAAAACAAAGCTTTAAAGCAAACTTGCCTTTTTTTTTTCCCTTCTATATTCTTCTTATCTGTCCTTGGTCACTTGTCACCAGCTCTATAAATAACAAAGGAAAATCTCACATCAAACTGAGGGTAAACTTAATGTGTCTTTAATGCATTAAATAATGTAATATTGTATATATTCTCACATTTAAAGTGTAACAGTTACCATTCTGTCAGCATATGAAAGGTCTTTAAACAACTTTGAGACTTCTAGACCAGAATTTTTGAGAAAATTGTTTACTAAAATCAAGTTGTCATGATTACCATTGTGAAAAGTAGTGTTGCTATTTTCCAGTGCTCTTACAGCATGGAGCAGAGCCAACCATCCGAAATACAGATGGAAGGACGGCATTGGATTTAGCAGACCCGTCTGCCAAAGCTGTTCTAACTGGTAAGTTTGTGTATTCTGGTTATTCCAGGACAAATACAAAGAACAAGCTTGCTAGGTAGACAGGCTGCCTCCTGCGGTTAATGACCTCAACTAGATTTTAAAATAGTGTCAGTTCACTTCCTATTCTTTTCTACATCTAGACAGTTGATATTTGATTCCTAAGAAAGATAAAGCTTTTTTTTCTTTTTTTTTCCAGTTTAAATTTGTCATTGATGCCTTATTGGTGACAGGATTAATGTGTGTTGCTCTCATGTATTCAGGAAATTTTTTAAATATCCCTAAATTTTTCAGGTAACGATGCCTGCTTACTGCTTTATGTGAGTTTCCTAATCCAAAATTCGAAATACTTCTTGGTCCCAAGCATTCTGGATAAGGGAGACTCAACCTGTACCATTCTTTTTTTGTTTTGGGGTATTTTTTAATTATATATTTTAATCATTTTAGATGGAATCCTTTCGAAAAGCACTAACCATTCTCTTGCTTTTCAAAACAGGATTTTGGGCATGCTCATTTTAGTACCATGAAGAGTGCTAATTATTGTACTCTGCTGTAACATATTCATGTCCTTGGAACCTATTTTGATGTTGAAGGCTATAGTTTAGATAAACAAGCTTTTCTGAATTGAATCTACTTCACGTATTTTTTCCCTTGTCAGTGTGCTTTCCTCTTAAGCAACTCTGCCGTATTACTTACTGGATTCTTATCTACTGGGTGATGACCGTTAGAATCATGTCTAATCTAAAAGGCAAGAACCTGAGAGATTTTGCTCTGAGCTTTGTGCCTGAACTTTGTGATGTTTCTTCTGGCATTGCTGAGAAAGTTTGGACTAGTCCCTGAAAAGAGTTCTAGAAATGTGAGCTATTATTGTGACTGTCACTTCAGTATTTATTTCCTCCTTGACTATTCCGTGTTATTCCATGCTTTTATCTTTTTAAAAAAACCTTGGGGCTCAAGAGAAGCCTTGCTCTAGCAATCAGTACACAGTTCACATTGTGGGCAGTATTTGGATATCATTTC